GAAAGAAGATAATGCAAACACATTTTCTCGAGGAAAAATAAAATTTGTTATGCAGAAAGAGTCACGTTACTTATTGTGTTCACTGAAGCATTGGATAAGAAAATATGGATAGACCCATCATGTGATAGTCAACTTCTAGCATGTTATACTCAGAATTTATTAAATCATATCAATTTACATGATCATGTTCGTTTAATTTAATCTTATACCACTGTGGTTTCGAGGGGTAAATACTAAGTTTCTTGTTATTGAACTAAGAATACTACTTAGCTTTAGCTATTCTCTAGATACCATTGTGGACTGATAAAACTTTAGACATTTACATCTCTATAATACTTAAAGAGTAGTACTACTACTAAGTAGGTATAATAATTACAGAATCAAAATCTTAGGCATAAATGAAGCCTCAAAGAACCATCAGATCACTATGGATGGGGCCCAATAGCTGATGACGATACGGAGCCGCGGAGGACTTAACGGGTTGCCGGGGCTCCGGTCAGTAAGAGTCTGACACTGACACCGTCTCACCCAGGTGGGAGAAGGCATTCGATGATTTTCTCCCCTTAAAAAAAGGCATAAATGAAAATATATCCTTTATTTTTCAAAGTTTAGAAGTTAGCATAAAACCTATTTCGGAAATCTATTTTCAGCTGACTACAAGGAATAGAAGCTATTGATGATTCAACAGGATTGGTCAAACCCGTTGTCAGTCTTTTGGTCTTTTGATCCGCCGCGTCTTTCACTGACGAAACACAGGAGTTAAATATCATATATTTCCAGACTCTACGCTGCTAAAGGTTTGAAAAACCAGTTAAAACTAGAATTGAGATTACTTCGGATCTTAAGTTTCGTGCACCAATGACAACCTGTAGATGGGACATTATTGATTAAACCCATATAACGTCGTGCAAGCTGATCAATGGACATCAATTTTGCACTAATGTACACCATTGTACTCTGATGGCAGTTTAGGGAGCTAAGTAACGAAATGTTGCCACAATTGATAGCTGAAGAAATCAAAAGCTAAGAATAGATTGATATAATGATGACCGCTACTTTTGCTATTTTTATCAAAGGATTTGGAGCTTATGCGTTTGGAACATATCTATTTTACTTTCTAGTAAAGTAATTGGTTGGTAGTACGGTATTGGTTTGTGAAAAAAGTGAAATGTAACTAATGATGAATATTCCGCCAACAATTGATATGACTAAAATAAAGTTCAAATAGTTAAGCTAAACATAATCTAATAGGTCTAACAATATTGACAAATCTCTGAATCGTAGAAAACCCACTGATAAATAAAAGAAACGTAGTCGTTCCATAGAAAGTCGAGGTAAAGAATATTTGTTTATACACAAGTCAAAGGCAACCTCAATTAATTACTACAAATATTACTCTGTAGAGTGCACCGCTACAGCAATCTTAATTAAACCACATTTAAAAGTTAATTTAAAAAATCCCGCAGTATTTTTAAGAGAGACCTTTCATATTGTTTGTTTAGGATTCCTATTTGAGTTACGAAAGAAATCAAATATTTGTGTTACGTTCATTAGATATACCTTGCTTACACCCTTTTCAATTTAATTGAGATTTTCAAATGAACGAACCGGTACTTTTACCTAACGTTTATGTCTTCATAACTTGTTGGGTTTTTTCCCAGCTACACCATTATACGGTCTTTATTACATTCTACAACATGCAATGCAATTTTCACCTAAAAATTGTAAGGCTTTTACATAATACAGGTCGAGTACAATCGATGTTATTTCGCGCCGTCCCTCGTGTTGTGCTAGGAAGCTTTAAAATATTCCGGAACCACGAAAAACCTATGACGTCAAGTACCCTTTATCCCAAAGGCTTAGCAGGATAAGAGCTACGAGGGTAAAACCCAGTTGACTTTTTAACGAGACAAGCTTGTGTGTTTAATAAATCATTTAACTGAAAATGTGGGTTTATTCAGCGTTTATGTAAAAGCAGCGGTCGCGTTCACGTCAAAGAGATGTCCATTGGCAACACAGTATGACAAATGAACAAATATTTACCGTTAATGAAGTCCGACACATTACCGCGCCCGTGTCCGCTTTATTACCCCTCAATGAGGCTTTATCTAGCGTACGGCTATCACTACGTGTATCAGCGAACACAGCCGACGTTGCTGTTAATTTTGAAAATGTACGGGTTAATGAATACGACGTTGTATTAATAAAGCAACACAAAGGCCCTGATGGAAGGATATAGCTTCATTTATGAAAAGATTTTAAAACGAAATTTCATTATTATTATTATATTAATATACATTATTCACTTCGCTTCAAGCTTTTTGTAAAACCCGCCCACACGGAAAAACATCAATTGAATCTGTTAGATGAAAATCATTTTATGGGAGGAAATAACGTGAACATTATAATTATGATTACCGAAGGAAATTGTTCACAGAATTCTACTGATGTTAATTCTTCAATCATTGAGGATGAAACACTAGTCGAGCAGGAAGCAATCTTTATTCCCAATGTAGTATACACCTCCGTACGTTGTTAGAATGTTTTCTTTCATCAAATACAAAACGACAAGACACATGATAATTTTGAACCAAAAACTAACCATATGCAACGGAAGGAAAGTGCAAATACCATAAGTAACTGTAGGCTTAGATGTGCACATACAACTGTGAAAAGTTTGGAAAAGCTCTAAAGTAAACGACAAAACTATGCCAAAATATAAGATAGGGACCGAATAATCTTATCGCCTTCAAGAAACCAGTTACTTTACTTCAAACTCCAAATAATACTAAGGTCGAGAAATGATAAGGCACTTTGGGAAATAGTGCCCATTTGAACGTCTCTAAAAGAAATTGGTCTAAAGGACAGACCAACCCATTTTTTGGCAACATTATCGAAACATTGTCTTCTATAGAAAATGATAAAAGAAATATTGAGGTATTTGTGCCCAATAGGGGTTTCTCTTCTATCTACAACGGTCCGGACTGTAGTAACAATAAAAATAAGAGCTGAATATTTGGGAATAATGTATATTCCATGAATATGTATATAGAAAATACGAGTTATTGGAAGGTCAGTGTGATAAAGACGGTGGGAGGGGACACGCGTGAGCCATATCTAAGGATTTAGTTCTGTGGCAGTTATTACACCCGCTACGTGTCCCGAGTCCCCGTGTCCCCGACCTGCCCTTCCCCGCCCCCGCCCGCGCTGTCCACAGTCGAGGGTGCGATCGGAAAACGCGATATCAATTCGCGAAAGTTCTCTTTTTGTTGCGACCGCGTCCAGGGGAAAATTAAAATGTATGGAAACCGTTACGGACAATAACGTTTATTAAAATATTGATTAGATTGCTACCATTATGATGCAAATGGGTTGTCAGCACATCTTTTTGTTACACCGTTGGGACAGATTGTGATAAATGTTTAAATAATTTCCAACTGTAAAAGGGCATTGAAAACATTCCATACAACCTTGTTAAAGCTTAAAAACCTTTCTCGGGTGTGGCTGTGTTTGAAGAAGAGTAGCGTTCCAACTCGTTATTTTTGTAAAAACCTTATTGAATATTCATTATGTACCCGGATCGATAACATCTAGTTAGGAATGCAAAAATCAATACGACTTTGCATAATGGGCGTTCATTACGTTCCTAGCAACAAGCCTTAGTAATTAGCACTCGGTTTGAAGCCACAAAGAAGCCGATAATAACGTAAAAATACGTTAACGTTGCAGCTCCACTAAAGCCGGTGCAATATTTTTCAAGGAAGTAGGAAGCTCTAGCAAGCTGTGTAAATTTTTCTTTGTCCTAAGAACGTCACGTGCTAAAGCTTTTTATTATCCTTACTCCCCTTGCTAGAGGGATGTTATGTAATCGTGGAATTGCCAGCCGTTTCCTTGCAAATGAAGCAATAGCTTCCGCTCACAGGAAATTTCATGGCAACCAATTAATAGTCTGCTCGTGTACCAAACTGTTTTGTGATCAAGAAACCGCTAGCTACAATTATTCCGAACTTAATTTAACGCCTACTTTAATTTTATGTTTTAAATGTTCCATTAATATTAAACTGTCAAACACCAAGCGGTCACCGGTGACCGCAACCTATTGTTCTATAATTGTGTCTACAAAACAGGTACTCGACGAGTTAAATCTCAGTCTGCAAATAAACCCCTTGCTCAGTTCTCTTAGCAATTACAAAAACAAATGATAAATATTTTGTAACGCAGGGATACACTTCAAAGCAATACAAAGTAAACATTTATTTTTCGTATAAAAAATATAGACATGAACTTGAAACACAATCTCTACCAAATAACTCAATTATTTAACATAAAAAAATATTTTATAAGAGACCAACCGCTGAGAATCGTAAATAGGCAGCGTAATGAATTCCTTGAAGAGAGCCGTAAGAAGAACGTGACACAAATCCTGGCTCAATAAACGAGATGAGTGACGAGGCCGCGCCGCAGCCGCGCAGCCTGCGTGACGCGAGCACCGAGACCATCCTTCATAGAAACAAGAACAACCACTCTCGCCTCCTTATACCTAATCTCTTTTATATTCCTCGCTTACATATAGAATGTTTCTGTTATTACCGTCATATAACATTTACGTATCCTCGCATAACCATCTCGTAGGTAAGGAGCGTATAACTTTAAAATTTAGGCAACATAAACCATGACCTAGTTCACTACCAATGATCTCGTCATGTTAATGATAGGTGCTGTAACGCAACTAGTACGATTATAGCATCGTTACACTAATGCTATCTATATTGACGTAACAATATTGATGGTGTTTGTAAACATAAAACTAACGCAAATGACATCTCGCTGCAGGACAGAATGCGGTTGGCACAACGCCAATGTTTTGCTCCAACGCCCTTTTATCTCTCGTCAAAATACCAAAAATAAAAACACTTACTTAACATTTTACACGTGTTACGCATTCCTTAATTGATGACAAATGTTTTATTGGTTTTAAAAATAGTTTTCTTTCTTTTCAGGAACGGTGCTTGGCGTCGAAGTACATTTCGAAAATAAGGACAGTGGATTTTTTCTGAAGCACACAGCGAGATGGAGCGGTTCAGGACCTCCACCGGAACCTATGGGGACAGCCCTACCTGGCGCCTTGTTATCACTCGATCGATTTACGGTACTACAAGGGTCTGCGCCCGCGTCAGTGCGGGCGACATACGGACCATTCTCCACTAAACAAACGGTACCAGCTCGATACGCAGTGCCCGACCCTTTAGAACCACCTAGAAGAAATGCATCTCTAACGGAATTGCAAGACGCTACTGCTCACAGACTTGACGTCTCTGCGCACTTGGTGTTTCGGGAGTTACCGCGTGATGCTCCAGTGCTGCGTGTTCTGTTCCACACGGGTGGTGAGGGCGGCGCACGGCGTGCCGCAACACGTCCACGTCGTGTTTGTATAACGCTGCACGCAAGTTATGGAACACGAACATTAACAGCTACATGTGGCCCTGAAGGCGAGGAGGGTGCGTGTCTTGCTGAACTAACGGTACCAGCTGCATGGTGGCCTGCCGATGGAAAAGGAAAGCGACCACCAAGGACAGTGCGATTAGCCTACAGCGCGGCAGAAGCTGGTAGTGGAGAGTCCGCCGAAGGTGCATGTGGACGTGTCTCTGTGCAACCTGCTTGGCCCCTGGGCTCGGTCACGTTGGCTGGAGCTCGTGCTGGATATCGGGAAGCTCGAGCCGGTGATGCGGCTCTTTTATTGCCCAGGGCGCCATTATATCCTCATTCTCGACTGCATCTACCCTTCGTAGTACGTCGCGATACAAGCCACACAATTTCGCATGTGGTCATCAGGTGAGTTCATATGTAAACATAATTGCAATTAAACATTTCCTTCTTGTACCTGACCCTGGCACCGAAGTGTAATCAAACTTTCTTAATCTCTGACATAGCATTTTATAAAGCTCCACCTGCACTCACAGTGTCAAGACATGAGCCACTTCATGTTAACGACGGCACAAGTCACGCATCTGTGTGTTATGTCACGCTGACTAATTTATCGGTATTCCGCCCAACAAGACTGGTTTATTGCTTGTCAACCGCATCTTCTATTTTGCGTAGGAAGTAAGAAACACAATATAATTCATTCGATTCTGACAGTGATGTTTATATTTTAGTAAAGAAAGCAAACAAAATGATGAAACTTGAAAATGTGAAACAGACTGTATTGTTGTGCGGTAACTTTTGGCAAGTTTTGAGCGAGCGCTGCAGCGGTTTGAGGACGAATGAGGTGCCAACTAAACAAGTTCACATGTACTACTGGAGTACCGAACAACGGTCGCTTCTCACAGCATCACTGCAAACTGTCGACCTCAATGCGCCAATTAAAACTTTTTCAGTTATTCTAGTTTTAACAGAATAACGGCTTTTCTGGAACCACCTCGTTTATTTCATAGAATTTATTGCACTTGGAGATCAAGTTTATTCTTCAAATAATTCTTGGTTTCATTCTAGACGGCCGCAAAATATGAGTAGTTCAACAAAAGATGACATTTTCATTGGGAACATTATATTATGTGCCACACTGTATAGCCATTTCTAAAGTTTATTTGATAAATTTTACTATTTTATGAGCCTTGTTTTAAATTCATGTAACTTGCATCTAAAGTTATTTATTCAGATTAATAAAAGCTTTTCAGAAAATACAGACTATATTCAGCCATAAAGATATGAAAATATTACATTATGAAATATAAATATCAAGTAGACGGTACAATATTAATTCATTCATATTACATTTGTAGAATAACTACTGAGAATACGCTTAAAATTACATAAGATTTAGTGGAACTCCTGAGGCAAAGAGCTCAGCTATTCCCTAAGTACTAAAAGATCATAATTCTTCTTTTAAGCAAGCAAGATATCCGAACAAATTCTTTTCAAGCTCAGCACTGATATTGAGTTACAGCGTTCTTCTAAGTATAATTCTATTCGTTCTAACTGTGATATAGTACAACCGCACTAACCCATTGGAGAACGAAAATTCGAAGAACACTAAGCACTAAATATCGATAAATGTTCACACAGCATGACAAATGAGGCCAAAGTTTGCCAGGAATACTGCGATCCTTTTCAACATTGCTAATACAATTTGGAGCTTAAATTATAGTTTGACATTCGTGCAGAAAATGATAGTTGCCGAATACACTCGTATAGGTTAGGTAGGTATAGTCATTTAATGATACTGATAAAAAGCAAAATAGGGATGACAAATATATCTACATAGAACAAAGTATAAAACTAGTTCAAGGCCAGTTCAATGTCGTGTTAATAGCTATCGAGTGTTCCGAGTAATCATTCTATTTGATTGAAATTGTTTAAGCTTGTCCTAGCTGTGTCCTCGATTTTATATTGATTAATATTATGCTTATTTAATGAATATTCATCTGCAATGCACCTAGAACTGAATACCTATAACAGCAAGTTATGTCATTTATTCGAACACAAAGTGTCAGCAATAAAAGCAGAAAAGAAAATTGCGGGTACAATTTCTAGATGTTCGGCGTAAAACGGCCGTGATTGCTCGACTGTACCCCGCAGTGATATGACACAACGAGCACTAGTGCAATCTTTATACGCGACGCTTCAAGTGCTGCACGAAAATGTAATGGAATCAATATCCTGTCGATATCGGTAAGAGTCTATTTCGAAAGAAATGAACGGATATGAATGCAGGAAATGCAGTTCTAGAAGCGTTTAGTGAAGTTTTATTTTTTACACTTAGTGCTCTTTGAGTTTGATAGTTCACAGTAGGTGCGTCTTACACTGCAGTTATATTGGGTCCTTACAATCATGCCATATATCATGCACCACCTGTTCCAAAACTTCATCGCGGATACGAGTATCTGTTTCTCCTTTTGAATTACGAGGCGGGTCGCACCCGTTCGGGAATCCTCGACTGCAACCAACTAAATGGAAATTTATTACGGCTTCGGCTTAGCTATTAAAATAAATTTTACTATTCCAACAATAACGTGCGACAGTTTGGCTAACTGCGGTTTTACGTGATCCTGATCCTCCGTAACTCATTGGAGTGTTTATGTTAGTTTGTTTGTTAATCTAACCATTGGTTTAATGTTTTGCGAAAGCTACCAAACAAGTTCAAAGCCTGCGATAAATTATTTTGAGTCAATGCAGAAAATGCAATGGTTGGACAAAGCTTTGATCTCTTCACTTTTACGATCCGTTTTCTTAGAGCTGCAATTATGTCAGTGTACTTAGGAGCGGACGATGTGCATACTCATAGTACGTCGTTCGTTAGGTGTTGTATGGCAAAGGACGGATGAATGAAATGGGAACGGAAACAATGATTGTTTAGGTATTAGTACGCAAGTTATTTCATGGTAAAGTAGTGCTTTACATAGCCAGTAATCAACAATAGACGATCAATATTCATAGCAATATTGATATTATAGGTATCAGTCATCGCGATTGATTTGATGGAACGCTTGAATATGACAAATCGATGTTTATAGAACTTCCAACACCAAACCCAATAATTATTATTGTTCTATCGTCATAGAAAAAGAGGATTTATTTAGATTCCTAACTTATGAGAATTTTAAAATATTTATTTGTTCTATAGAATGAAGGTGAAGTCTGGTCTACGCTTGGTGAGCGTGACCGCTGCCAACTCCCGCTGGGCAGTAACCGCTGAGGTGAAGCCTCGAGCTGCCACCGTCACAGCCACAAGGCTCGAACAACCGCTGCGCGACGACGACTCATCTGACACGTAAGTCATTTACTCTAACATATAGTTTCTTTTGACATTCAGAAACGATAAACGACTAGTAAGCCCTACGGTGCTAGCTAAATTACAATTCTACAAACGATATCGTTATTAGAAAAGTATGGTAATGTATGGATATGACATAAGGTCCACACTAAGTCACGTGGTCAAAAAGAAAATTGGTAGCCAAGTAACAAAACTATTTATTCCATCATACCGTTGGAAATCGTTTCCACGACGTCAATCACTAATCCTACTGGTTAACTTTCGAATCATACATTGTAGAGGCTCAAAAATCGGAGGTTGGTTCTAACTAAGAATGTAGCATAAATACCCTTGGTTGTTGGCTATATAAATAAATGATATTCAGCCAAATCAGGTTAAAACTCAGTGCCGAACGTAACTCAATTGAGGGAAATACTAAGAGAGCGAAGGAGTGTGGTATAACACAGTTTCTTACTTGCTAATTACATCAACCGCCTCATTTGTTACCTAAAAGGTTTATTGAGGAGTACCTAATCGATAAATTAATCGGTAATCTCATTATGAACCCAATTTGTGATCCTGTGATCAGAAAGCTTCTACGAAATTACATACAGCTGTGCCTACTTCTATCAATCAATTTAACTAAAAGCATCGGGTTGCTATAAGTAGTTGGTATATCTAGAGACGTAGGTACTTCATTTTGACAGAAACATCAGTAGCCCAAATTATAATTCTTGAATTTATTTTATAAACAAAATATTTTCCTTGCAACAGCAAACGTTAAACTAATTGAAGTTGATTAACTAAATTAAAAGCTAGAAAATGATGCTTCACATCCACTTTCAAGAACTTTATAGCACAGTTTCCTGACCAAAGAGATTAACCCTAACTAGCACTTTCCGCTGTAAAAAATAGGTATCCGGATGCAACGTAATGGTTTCAACTTTCTTGTTAAATTATACGATAAAATTTCGAAACAAGAGCGAACAATTGCTTTCAAATTGAAATGACCGGCATAAATTCCAATAAAATTGAAAAAGACTTTCATTTTCAAAAATAAATCCAATGAAATGAAAATGCCATCTGCAATTCTACATTTTTCCATTTTAGCGATAAAATGTTCTTGCATTCGGAGTGGTCGTAGATAAAATGGGTTCTTTCTAGCAAGCCGGCCAGCTCAGCGAGAGAGGTTTAAAGAATTCATTCCATTTCTAAGTATTCTTCAAGTTCGTCCTCAAGTTGAACTGTTTATGTTTAATGCGAAGGTTGAGCTTAACTTAGCTGAACACGGTTTATTGCTGTACTCACTGTACCTATGCATTATTTTGTTACGTCTCTTATATAATTAATGCAAGTCATACCGGGCTCATAAACGCCCATGCCATTCATCTGTGTAGGTACTCGTAGGTATATCTAGTTCCAGTTTAACGAGCTTCGCAGTCGCACCAAAATGAAAATTTATTTTTATTCTACACGTTTTATAACAGAATGTTTCCATTTCTCATTTCTTTGGCGGGATTTGTTCACAATTTCGCCCACGACTACTTTGCATTTGCACAGCCATAAATTTTGTCAGCGCTTTTCCGCTTAATGAAACCCGATGTCACGACTAACTTTTTATTGTTTAGATAATTCCGTGTTTCCACTGCAAAACACAAAGCGACAACACCCGAGGGAACTTGAACTTTAGGAGTAAAGACTACATAATATTATTGATTTATTATGACCCGGGTTATGTTCATCTTCAAGATGTTCGACCTCAATAAACAACCTTTTAGGTATCTAGTAAAAGCTTTTAGGACCAAAAACTTTATGAACTGAATATTGTAACTTAATTTCACGATGTAGGGAGTCTGAGGAGAGCAGTGGTGTTGGGGAGCCTGGCTGGGAAGAGATCCTCACGTGGCTGGTAGAAGTTGGAGCTGAAGGTGAAGGCGATGGGGAAGGATCCGAGGGAGAGTCAGGGCGTGGAACTGCTCGCATCAGCTGGTCGGCCAAAGTATCCTCAGCACCCACTACAACCTCCACTACTGAAGAACCACCTCACGAACACAGAGTAAACACAAGACTGGATATTGAAAAGGATGACATACAAGCTGTCTTACCAATCTCTAAGGTAAAGTATTGACGTGTTTACCGTTGCCATATCACGTCATCTTCCACAATTTCCATAAAATTAATTCAAACAGGATTTATAGCATGTTGAAAACATTTATAGGGATACACGACTTGCTCTTGATTAAAATCAACTTGCAGATACCTACTTCCAGTGAAAGCACAACGCAGAACACTTTATAAGATGTATGTTCTCATGAACAGCCTACTACCTACCAATTTACTACGATTAACGGGTGTTCACACCTATACGGTTTTATCTTACTTTCCATTTAAACATATCTATGTTATAAATGCGAATAGTGATTACAATCACGGACACCTACTCGATTATTCGACTATTATCGAGACAGGTGCTCGAAATCAACAATTTATAGAGACATCGATTGTAACGATAAATTAACTGAAAGGTATTTTCTTAGTAATTAATGGTACAGAGGGAGCCCCTTTTATTACTAAAACGATATCTTTATTGGGTTCCAAAGGTTTTATGAGTGGCTCGTTGCGAACGACCCGAGTACCCGACCTTGTGTGCGTAAAACTGTTTAATAGATGCAGCACCTCATTATTGTAGGGTTTATAAAATAATACTTGCGCACCCGTAGTATTATTTTCGTCTAAATTATACTTAATTTCTGGAACATTGTGTCTGTAATGCGAGTGATTGTACCAAATAGCTGAGATTAACTTTTAATGGTACATTCTTAGTATGAATGAAGTGGTGTAATGGGAGCTTTATCGCGAGCTAATGGAGGCTATGGTGGGTCGTCGCCGCCCACTGCGCCCACTGCGCCCACTGTGCCCACTGTGCCTGCTCAGTGCGAGCACTCTGCTTGTTCGCCTCGTCAAATTGTTGCGATAACTACTTCACTGTGCACAGTCGGTATTCTTGTGCATAATTCATTTGCGACTTTTTAAACAAAATATTTCAGGGCTTACTCGAAAGTTCATAATTTAAAATGACACGAATTCGTAAAATACCAGGTTTATTTTCAAGATAACAAACAATAATACAACTTTCTCTGTTTTAAAAGTATAATATTTTAGGATAATCGCCCCATTCTTTGCAAAATAATTTTACAGCCATTAGTCTGTCACAATAATAAATTAGGGATCAACGAAATCTTTTAACATTTAAATTATATCAAACTTCAATAACACGATTCACGTTTATATTATCTTTTAAAAGCAATTTGGCTTTTTTCCATTTCTTGTAAAACGGATTCGTCGTTAATTTAATTTGAAACGTTCTATTAAATCGGGGAATTGGTTTGTGGGACGTGGGACTCGTGGCGCAGACACATTGTTTCGAACGCCCGTATAATTTTCATACGTCAGCGACGTGTGCGGTCCCACCGCGCGCCGGTGCGGCTTTAAATGAAGTTACAGAATAATATTTATAAAGCAATTAGTTTATCTCAATATTAGCGTGGGGCCATTAACTCGGGCCTCGGGCGCCCCGAGCTGGAGTGGGCCTCTTCATATCTGCTCACTGACGGATGAACGCTCGGCACTCGCTCCTTGTCTGCCGCCCAACTAGATGATTAAAGCAATTAAATTACGACGTGAATGATGGAGTGTTTTATATGCACGGCGAAACTATTGTAGCCGGAGATTAATAGACAGAGTTCATTATCGGGGACTCGATTACTCGTTTTTGTCAAGGTCCACCTATATCTTATCTAGAGGCAATCGTTTAGGACAGACGATAGTCGTGAAGACTAATAAGTTTAATGTGGGTACTCCGTGGTTCCTTTAGGTCACATTAATGTATAACTTTAAGGTATTTCTAAGAAAGTGGGTAAATTAGCTACCCGTATTTATGTGTCTGATTGAATAATCATAGTGTAGAGCTATTCAGTCGTTTCTCTAAGTATAAGGTTGCGTCCACAAGTGTTAATGAGCTTATTACTTTTGAGTAATGGATTTTGTCATCATTATCTACTGTTTGTAAGATATTTTAAATTGATGAGCATTTTTTGAACACCTGTCTTTACTATCTTATTACTCACTTATTGCTTTTTAATTTGAGTGTGGAAGTAAGATAACTGTATGAACAAAAGTGGGTATCTTTAGGTGTCTTATGGGACCAAAATAACTTGCTATAAAATAATAACTCGTGGATAGTTCTAAATTAATAGAACACAGTTTAAGGCTCCTTAAATTAAGTAAATACTTGATTTTATTTGTGTGTTCTCAAGATGATGGGATTGTAATATGTTGACATTTTACCAGAACTGGGAAGTGTTAAACACGGCGGTGCTGACAGGGCGTCAAGTGTCTCAGGCAATGAAAGTGCTGATCGTGTCGCAAGCGGGACAGGTCGCTGACGTCACTCTGCAGAGCTCTTGCCATTCAGAGGACGAGAGCGTGCTAAAGGTAACATCTAGTGAATTATTTAATACATTTTAATATTATAGTTTGATATATTTTGTCACAGACACTAGTTCTATGAAAAATCATAATATTTTGCATACTCGAAAAATATTTACCTCTTGTTATGCAATCGAAACCAAAAGATCATCAGGTGCATAAAAACGATTGGGTAACCTATGGGTACAAAATAAAAATCTCTTGTAATACGCAAGCATTTGTATTGCAATAACCCCAACAATTTCCCCTCTATAAACCAGGTATCATCATCATGCAGTTCAGTCTACGTGGACGGTTCGGAAATCCGCGGCTCATCGAATGCGTCAGTGATTGTCAAGTACGGCACATATACCGGTTTAGCTCGGTTCACCGTCTGGATGCCCGAGTACCCTCTAGAGATTGACGTCGATGACAACAGACTATCGCAAATCAAAGGTAAACGTCATTACTCGATCATTATGCCCATTTGTGTTGCTTATTGCTTTGCAATTGAACAAATGAATGAATGAATGATTTGTAGGTACGCTTTAATTCAGTTTCCATTCAACTTGTTACTTACTTTAACGAGTTACAAATAACTTTTAACTCGTTGATAATGAACGTAATTTGTTTGAAGCTTTCTTCTAGTTAAAAGTTTAATTTTCTATGAAATTGGATGATGGATCTATTCATTTCATTTATAGATATTATATTAACTTTTGAGTGGATAATTTGAGATGTTTATAACACAAGTGACGATAATACTCGGAATTAGTGTTTGTGTCCAATTTATAGTACTTAATACCTTCTTGTATTCGACTTTTAAAATATCATTCAAAGTTAGGGGTCATCCATAAATTACGTCACACTAATTTCATGATTTTTATACCCCTCCCCCCGTCCTTGTCACAGCTAGTCACATTTGTGAGACGCCCCCCCCCCTAGTGTGACGTCACAATTTGCAGAATTACAGTATAGAAACTATTGTTTTTTCACTTAAATTACTTTAAAAAAATATTAATGTCAAATCAAACAATTAACTTAATAAAAAACATTAATACATTTATGTTTCGTATTTTAACACAGATTAACTATTAGTTTTTGAAAGGTGACATCACAAAGTTTTGGATCCCTCCCTCCCCCTTGTCACACAATGTCACACTTCGTCGACCCCCTCCCTCCCCCTTAAGTTGTGACGTAATTTATGGATGGCCCCTTACCCAGAGATCCAACAGATTATTTATGTGCGTAGTAGACATTCCTCTTTACATATCTTAATTCATGTGCTTTATATCTGCTCCTAAGAAACGTTTTCACTTACTAAAACGAGTATTAGTTACTGTGCTACGAACAAGCATTATTTATTGGCTTGAAAATAGAGCAACATTTGATTTCAAGCTTATTTTTAAAATTCACTTACCTCTTTTTTCTCAAAACTAATTGGTTTAACGTCTGGTTAAGGTTGGAAAGTCCCCGATGACGCGAACACGAAGGACCGGACGCGTCGGTCACTGTCAGCAAGGGGTTGGGGCGGCGCCCGACCTGACAACACCAACTCTTTGTCTGAACAGCGCTCCTGCAGGCTTCGGTACCAACAAAGCAATGTTGAGGTAAGAATTTAAACTTTTGTAATAAGTTTTTAGGGTTTATATTGCGATGTTGATATGGTTATGTTTGCTGCGTGAAAATTAGGTAGCTAATAATGTTGCCTCTAAACAATGTTGAGTCGAACTGGATATCAGACTTAAATAATATTTTATGTAATAAAATTCGTTAGGCATCTGGATGGATTAAAGTTACAATTATTAATAGACAATGGGCGATCATTTTCTTCTGGTCTTGAAACTAAGTTATTGAAATATTATGTAGTTATATATGTTTTTAACTATCCATATATTAAATATAATTAGGTAATGATTTTCTTAAAAAAATATGATGATAATTTTTTTAATTGTGGTTAAGGTAAAACGAAACAGTTATTGAAATTGTAAAGAATTAATGTTATTCTAGTTTCGCCTATTCTTTTTCTGACGTCGTCGTTCCTTTGTTTATAAAAACGAAAATTTATGTACTTAATAGGCGTAGGTACTTAACTTAAGCACTTTAGTGTTGCGTGTCTGAATTAGGTAAATTGATCGTAGGTTTTTGATAACCCTTTATAAATAAGTAAACTAAATTAAAGTAGGTATTTTATGAAGTCCACACGTAAAATAAAACATTTTACTGCTTACAACTGGTTGTAAAATTAAAATTGAAGCTTGGCGTCTACAATTAAAATGAACTCCATAAAACTGGGCGTCTCGCCTAATTACTAGGTGCTTGACAACATCAACGTAGTGTATACCAACCAATAAAATAAATAAGTGGTTTTTGTTAAAAAAAAATGTACGAAATCGTTCGCCAAATGGCAGCGGGCTCGCCCCTCGATCAAGATAATTGGCGTACGTAAGAGTGGGTGTAGGTAGTACTTATAGTGAAAAGGTTGCAAAGTTTGCGTGACCTATCAACAATTTAAGGGTTTATTTAATTTAGGTACCTACCTACTTCAAATACTAAAGACTTAAAGTTATCGTTATTTTGGGGCTGCTATTTTCAAGATTGTTTTTGCGTCATTCTATATTTCGCTGTCGGTCAATATCGGTAGTAATTTGTAAGTGATTTGATTTGGGCTCGATTCTTGTGTTCAGCTAGTTAGTTGCACGATATAGTACAACTTCCTAAATAGGTTTTCGCTCCCGAAATTCTTAATTCTTAGTAGCTATAGCCAATAATTAGATGTTTAGTTTATGTATTTGAAGACTTAAGAAAGCCTGACTTTTTATAAATGTGACTGAATATATGATAAACTGAAGATCAAGCTCGATGGTATTCTGTTATCGAAGCATTAGGTACCTACTTCATCACATGAGACACATCACCCTCGACTGCTGAACATTCCACCTAGTGACATCTAAATCCGTTGGTTTTTATAAGGGGGAAAAAATCATCGAATGTCTTCTCCTGCCTGGGTGAGTCGGGAGGGAATGTCAGACTCTTACTGACTAAATGTCACCTCGTTCCTACTCCTGCACTTCGACCTGAAGCCCCGGTAACCCGTTAAGTTCTCCGCGGCTCCGAATCGGCTTCAGCCCTATTGGGCCCCATCCGTAGTCTGATGGCTCTTTGATGCGCGCGCGGAACGCGACGCGGCATACGCTCGGGGAAAATCCGTTGGTTTAAAGCGACATATTCCTCATGACTAGTGTATTTTTTTCGTTTATTTAAATATCAATTCTTTTTCCTCCCCATAGGTGTACGCTAGATTCCTGGCCAAGGACCACGATTCAGGTCGCGTGTCCTACTTCGTGTCACGTCGCACATGGCTGAAGGTCACCGAGCTGGTGCTGACGAGGGTGTCCGACCCTCGGATAGCGTCGCTGCGTGGCCGAGTGCTACAAGGACGGAGTACGGGACGCACTGAAGTTCAAGTACTGTCGCCTATTACAGGTAATTTTGATTGATGATGATTGGTTGTTGTTTTATTTATGTGTGTGTGTACGATAGATATGTAATGTAGTTAGGTACTTACTCATTATTACGACTGTATGATGACGCACCGACTGGTCTGGACAAGTGTAGTGTAGTGGTCTTCTGTGTGAGGACTGAAATGAAACTTACGGCGAAAGAGAAAAGTCAACTGGGACAAAGTTTAATGAAATCACGTTCAAATAGGTAGAATTATGATGTAGTTAGTAGCTAGTAGGTAGAAGAACTTGCGATCTTGTGACTAAGTAAGTAGATAGTCAGTACCTACCTATGGCAGATCGATTCCTAGATATACTTTAATCAGAATTTTAATATGCTTTATAGAACTTCAGCAGTGAGTGATTACTTTTTTCATATAAAAAAACTGGCACTTAAAGCTCTTAAGTTCGTTACGATTGACCTTTTAATTAATTAAGTAGGTACCTAAGTATTTGACATTTAAGTAAATGTTAATGCCAAAATCTACATCAAAAATACAAAATCTAGATCTACACTCAGGCCTCTCTTGAAGACTTACCAGGCGCCATTAGATTAATTAACGACGATATGGCACGAATAGGTGACTGGAGTTCCAAATTTGGGTTACTAGTAAATCCATCAAAAACGCAGGTGACTATCATTGGTAGTGCGCGTACCGTCTCCAAAATGAATTGGACAAGTCTTCCCCAAGTTTCTTTTCTAAATACAAAAATTCCTTTCTCCCGCGATGTTAAGAACTTGGGGATTTACATTGACAGTAACCTCTCCTGGAATAAGCAATTGCAGGTGGTCAGTCGGAAATTGTTTGCTTCAGCGGGCTCCTTAAGGCGTCTTCGTAATTTCTTACCCACAAAAACCAAAATTGCACTTGCACAGTCTCTTCTTCTACCAATACTCGACTATGCTGATGTCAGCTATCTAGATCTCACCCAAGAACAATTGGACAAGCTTGAGCGCCTTCAAAACCTTTCTATCAGATTTATATTTGGTTTGCGCAAGTATGATCATGTTTCTGAATTTCGTAGTAAGCTCAGATGGCTGCCTATCCGCCTTCGCCGGAACGCTCATATCCTTTCGTTACTATTTAATGTACTTTTTAATCCTGCTGCCCCTTTCTATTTAAAGGAACGTTTCCAGTTCCTGGGTGTCACACATTCGAAGTTCCTGAGATCATCGGAGAATCTTAAGCTCAGCATTTGTAAGCACTCCACTTGCTTTTATGACAAGTCTTTCACAATACAAGCGGCTCGGTTGTGGAATGCGCTGCCGGTGGAAGTGCGACGTGCTCAAACTCTGGGTCAGTTTAAGGGACGTGTGAAGGAACACTACCTGTCACTGTAGAAATGCTTTTGTCCTTTCATTATGGATAAACACATCACACACACACACACACACACACACACAC